TTCTATGGGGACTACACCTGAGCGGAGAAAGCAAGCATCATACAAAAATTAACAATGATGTAAAATATATATAAATAAATAATATACTTAAAAAATAAAAGATATATGCTGTTCTTAAAAGCATGTATTAGCCATCTAATCATGGTACTAAGTTAGGAAGTGTCATTTCTAATTGGTGAAATTCTTTTTTTTTTTAAAGATTTATTTATTTATACTTACAGAACTGGGGTACAGACCAGAGGTGTGGTAGGTGAGAGGATTCACCAGAGACAGAATGGGGAACACAACAGGCAGATCGATAAAGTACACTGCTGAGGGGAGCAGCAGGCGGGTCAGGAAAGGTCTGAGGAGCCATGTGGGTCAGCTCCCTGGCGGGGGATCAAACTAGTACTGCATGAGAACTTCATAATGCAGTGCATTAACCCGTTGCACTACCAGGGATAGTCCAAAATTCTTTTTTTCTGACCTGCCATAAACCTTTGGCAAAGATGTTGAATCAATATCACCTGCCAATCTTTCAGTAGTAATTCTGCTCCATTCAGATTCCCTTGCTGTCTGGGAGTCTGACTGGGAAAGTGTGAAACTAACATGGAATTACTGGGCCTGCTGTTGAATCAGGAATGACAACAACTATGCCAATTCTCCGTGAGGACTGACATACATTCCAGTGCGTGAAGTAAGGTGCCTAACCAGTCCCTGGGATTCTCTAGATCCCCACTTCTCTTAGTTCTGGTTATCTTTACAATTCCTGCCAGATATTATATATATATGAGCGTGAATAAGTGTTTTATGAGGGACCAGTATGAGGTAAATACCCAAATGTAGTATCACATCTAAAATACACAAAGTACTCAGAAGAAGAGATACAGCTGTGAGGCAAGGTTCTTATATATGTTATATTACATATGAATCTGAAACAGATAAAAAGGCAATTTCAAGTGTCTGCTTTGGATTTAAGGGACAGATATTGACAACAAAATATAGAAGAAATAAAATGTGTTCTAAAAGTAGACATTCATCTCATTTGAGATAGAAATTTCAAAGAATTTGAATAGAGAGCACACAATGAACAGCATTCACAGTCATTTGAATCAACAAGAATCTACCTATTCCTAATGGGAAATTTGCTCCAGGAAGATAAAATAATTTCTTTCTGTAATTATTAGTGAACAAAAGAGCAGTATCAAAGGATAGGATTTCAGTGTTTACTGAGTTATAGATAAAGTAAATATCATTCCCACCAGATTTCTCAACAATATCATTCCACCCCCTTTGAAATCACTTTCTTATCCCACTTTATTTGAGGTTTCCTGAGTACTTTTTTCTGCCCTGTGCTCTTAAACTCATTTTGTTATATTCTTCAACCTACCCCCTCCTCCCTAAATAGACTATCATATGAAGCATTAAGGCAAAATAAACATTAACCTTAATGGATTTTTTTCCTTCTTATTCATGTACCAGTTCTACCATACTCAAAATGACTTGGAAGTTAGTGGAAAAATTTAATTCCCATACCTCCAGCTTCCAATCAGACTAACATCAAACAGAGGAGAAAAAAGACAACATACTTATAAGAAAACAAGTTATGAATCCCTGGAACTAAACAAAGAATACTGTAAGTTTTGCTGTTGAAGGCAAAAATTTAAAGCCAAGTCAAAAGAACAGAAGCAGGTTTGAGCATCTATCAGGGCAGCAGGGACATAAGCATTCTTTCTGGCTAGTCCATAAGGAACTTAGTTCCCCAAGAATGAGTAGGCTTGGAGAAAAATCATTCTAGCAGCTCAAATGTAATGAGGTTAAAAAGGACAGGACGGTGGAGTGTGAGGGTCTAAATTTGGCGAAGAGCTAGCTGCTTTACTAGATAGTGGTATGTCAAATCACTGAACAGCTACTTCTGCCTGTTTAGACATTAAAATATTTTTTGAAAACGTGACCAATTATAAAATAATACCATATGGTTTGTGTATTGGCTTAGTGATGTCTAGTTTATACTAAGTAAAACCTCGTGGTCAGCCTCTATCTTTCTTAATTTCCAAGGTAGCCATATAGTACAATTATAGTAATTTGTCAAAGAAATTTAAAACCTAAGTAGGAGAAAAATTCTACATCCTTCTGTGCAAAATAATGTCACTTGCCCTTTTTATGAAACCATTAGAAGAATATTTACATTGAAAAATGGAAGAAAAGACCATATACAAGGCCATTATTTCTTTCATTTTCATTTCAGCAAGAACAAAGAGAACATCCAAGATTTAAGAGCCAAATTCTTATCCCATGACATAGTTGGTAGTCAGGATGATAAAATTAACTTCCTTATCCCTACTATCAAAACAAGAAATAAAAATGAAAAAGGATGTTGTCTCTAACTACTACTATCTAATTAAATTCAGGTTTATTCTCACTTTTCCTTGATATGAAACACCAAGATGTGGTAAATCAGTAATTAGGAAATGAAAAATACAAACAGGATGTGAGAGATAATCCTAACAGTTTTCATGAACATGAAAAAGACTGTTTCTTCTAGAATATCAAAGAGTGAAGAGAGAGGGAGGGAATCAATAACTTCCCAGCAGCATTTTTCACAGCAAACTAATGAGAAACAGCTTTTACAAATGCCAGAAATATAAAGCATCTATTTAAAAAAGAACACCAGTCATCTTCCTTTGTAAAACACAGTACCTTTAAAGGTAGGATTGTTTCCTCTTTAACCCCTGCACCACTAGAGAGGTTTCTTCTCTTCCCTAGAAAAACATTTAATTCCTGGCTTAAACAATTGCTACCTCTAATATAATCTATTGTTTTAGATAAATAATAAAATTACCCTGAACCTAAGCAAAAGCAGTTGGCTATTTTAGTGTTAAAAATATTCTTCTAGGCCCTCCCTGGTGGCGCAGCAGGTTAAAGCACAGCACTGAGAATCTAAAGCCATTTCCACATGAGTTCAATTCCCACCTGCCCCAGAGGAGACCACATGGCATGGCAGACCTCTCCTAACCCGCCCACTGCTCTCCTCAGCAGTGTACTTCGTCAATCTGCCTGTTCTGTTCCCTAATCTGTCTCTGGTGAAGCCTCTCACCACCCCTGGGCCTCTGGCCTGTACCCCAGTTCTGTATGCACAAATAAATAAAAAAACAAAAAACAAAAAACCCAAAAATATTCTTCTAGGGCCTTCCTAGTGGCACAGAGGTTAAAGTCTCAGCACTACCAAACTATCGCCAGCCAGTCAATATGGTGTGAGTTAGACACAAAGCCAGGGAGCTGACACACGTGGCTGAATCCTGTCTCACCCACTGCTCCCCTCAGCAGTGTATTTCAGTCAATCCACCTGTTCTGCTCCCCACTCTGGCTATGGTGAATGAATACTCTCACTCCCTGCACCTCTGGCCTATACCTCAGGTCTACACCTCAGTTCTTTTATGCATAAATAAATAAAAAAATAAATCTTAAAAAAAAATTTCTTGAGCCTCCTTAGTGGTACAGGAGTTAAAAGTCTGAGCGATCAAGCTATCATCAGCCACTGATTCAGGTGTATCAGACTTCTCTTGTCTTACCCACTGCTCTCCTCAGCAGTGTATTTCAGTAGATCCCCTCGGTCTACTCCCCACTCTGTCTCTGGTGCGTTCTCTCACCTCCTGTACCTTTGGCCTACACTCCAGTTCTCATATGGATAAATAAATAAAAATAAATCTTAAAAAAAAAAAAAACATTCTTGTATAGTGGCTTCCATAACACATACTTCAACACATTTTAACATCCATCAAGTTCTTCATAGAGCAGAATGTCATTTTCACAAATTTTACTCCTCCTCCCTCTCTCCCCACTTTAAAAGGCCCTCCAGTTTCTCCCCATCTTAACAAGATTGTGTCAACACTATCAAGTATTTAGCTTTCATCAGTCAATACAACTGGAGCCTTAATGAAACCCAGTTCTCAAATCCCCTTGCTGCTGAAAATGAACTTTAAGGCTGGTGCAGTACATCAGAGTTGTGTCAGAGAATAGCTTGACATGGGCAATTTTATGAGAAGCAGAAATCATGAGCTACCACTGCTAATGTAGTCCAAATCTCCTAGCATATTTGATTACCAACTCAAAAGATAAGAAATTTTTATTTCCCTAATCTTCAAGTGTCAGTGTTCTCTGGTCCTAAAATTCTGAGCTACAAGATATTCAGACCTTCAGAAAAGAAATGAGCGAACTTAGAATTTCAGTGACAGTGACTGATAACAATAATCACAGAATAAGCTGCATACTCTATTATTAATATATGTTGGTTTCTAACCACACTCCCTCTCTCTATTCTTTAAAAAAGAAAGGGGAAAACCTTAATGCAAAGTTCCAAGGAATTATAAATTATTCATATTTTCCCGGTTTAACATTCAGTACCTCCAAGTGTATGAGGAATATGCTTTCATTTTATGAAAAAGTAGATAGAATCCAAAGAGTTGTGCATGTTTCCCCCCTTCAATATAACAATTGTAATATTCACAGGTACCTGCATAAAATTTACTTTTGCATAAGCTGACATAGTCTTCACCAATAGGAATAAACATTTGATGGAGAGAGAAAAGAGGAATAGAGAGCCTCAAGTACAGAGATCCAAACATTCCACAATGAATATATTAATCAACCTATGATTCATCTTTAACCAACATCTGGAAAATCTTTATCTCAATAACCAAACACAAATACATCACAAAATGTAAAAATAAATCTTTGGTTCTAGTTCTCCTCTGGTTATAAACAAAGCATATAATTATAAAAACAACAAAGAAGAAAAATCAGTATGTTGTCTATATTTTCTAAATAAATATAAACTCACTGCCTGCCATCAACTCCGTGTCCCCTTCATAATGCTGAACAGCCTGAAGTCAAGCATGTCTTATAGCACTTTGCTCCACTAATATCATTTATTTATGTTGCTGCCTATCAAACATCACATCACTTTCTACAGCATTCTCTTTACATAACAGGGGACTGAATTTCTTTCAAAAGGAACTTACCCTTCGAAATGATACCACATAGAATGTGTCTCCCCTTCTGCGGATGGCTTCAAAGAAGTCTTGATAACTTCTGGGTGAGGCATAATATACTTGCAGCTCACTTCCTGAGTTTCTGCTGAAATAAAACAAAAACAAATTCTTAAATTTAAAAGTCTCATTTTCTTACAAAAAACTTCCCATTCTAAGGCCATATCTGAGTTGTAAGAATCTGTCAACCAAAGCATTAGTGGCATTTTGGCAGTAGCCTTTATAAGAACATTTAGAAAAGACCAAGGTCAGGATATTTGTAAGACCAATTTCACTAAAGTCAAAACATTCATTTCTAAATCAAGGATCTAAAATGTACTGACAGTCAAGTATATTACAAAGCAAAATAAAAATAATCAGTCTCAGATAACAGATTTTACATTGGTTGGAATGATTTTAAATTTTTTGGTTAAAAACAAATTAGGTATAAAGAAAAGTTATTCTTCATCACCTTGTCAAATCTGTGAAGGCAATACCTGGCTATGAGGCTATGTGAAAAGTAAAAAGGGTTTAGGTTTTGGAAGCAAACAGATCTGGTTTAAAAGTCTTCTTTCCTCAGGGGAATGAAGATGTTAGGGAAATCAATTTCTGAGCAACCACAATAAAATAAGAATAATCATATAGTATTACTGAAGTCAGAGATACGATATTTGTAAAGTACCAAGCCTGGGTTCATTCCATGGAAGTCACTCAACAATTGCTAACCAGAGAGAGTCCAATTACCATGTCAGAATCTTAATAAAATGATTACTAAAAATACAATGCTTCAAACTACAAGGACTTCCAAAAGATATCATCAAATTATATAATATAGTTTGTAATAATATTTCAGTTTCTTTTACTGTTTAACACATAAGTCAATACCCAGAACTTAACGGCAACCTAAAAAAAAAACTTTCACTTTTTTTCAAAAATAGAACTTCCGTGTTTTCTTCAAGATGGATTGAAGAGAAAACTATGAGTCAGAAGAAATTCATTTGACAAAAGGTCAAGAAATAGTCAAAACTAGTACACTGACCATAGATATGAGACACATAGCAAAGAAGGGGTAAGAAGGGGGGGCTCAAAATAGGGCAGGGAAAAACACAAGGGATATGGCTCGAGGGTGACATGGTGGCAGGAAAATATGGGTACTACAGTGATTTAAGGGAAAACTGTAATTAATTAATAAAAAATTCATTTGAAATAATTCCACTTTGTTCACTAGGAATTTCTACTGAACATTTTGAATTCTTATTATCCATGATAATTCTTGCCTAGAAAATGAGTACAAACACTGAATTGGTCAATACCAAACCATTCAGCAAGCCTTGGTATAGTTTTTTGTCAACACATCAATATAGAAACCTGTTTTATGTGTTTCTGTTTAAAGACATTTTCTTTAATACATATTGTTTGGTCACAGCTAACAACAGCACAATAACTCAAAACCAACTGAAGCTTATCTAACATGCTCTTTTTTTTTTTTTTTAATTGAGGCAAAACTGGCTTATAATACTGTATATGATTTAGAGGTAAAAGATTACACCATTCAGATGTATGTCGCCATATCATACCCTCTCTATACCAAGGCACCCATAATCCTCCCTGACAGTCCACTTTCCTCTCCCCTCCCACTACCCCTCTGGTAGTCTAAATTTTATAATCAGATTTCTAGGGGGTTTAGTTCAGTTTTATGTGACCCTTCATTTTGTTTCTCTCTATTGCACACATACCATCCAGTGTTTATCTTTCTCTCCCTACAAACTGTGCATCTTCTCTCTGGGACAACACATACGTGGATCAGCACTTTAATACTACACTTGGAGGGAATTTTAAACAGTGAATTCATCAACCCAAAGCTCAAAAATGTGGAAAATATGCCACTAAATAGATCTCTAAAGGACACTTGTTTATAGTACAAGAGTTGAAACTGGAAGGGAGAACCTTACTTGCCAATGATTGTGAAAATGTCATGAGAGTAATTCTGGAGTTACAAAAAAATGTCAACACTTAAGCAGATTCACCAGTATGGAATACAGGAATAATGAGCAGTTCCTATAATTCATTTATATAAATCCTTTTAAAACTATTTTAAAGAGCAGTTTTCTATTCTCAGCAAACATAAAAGAAGGGTACAGAGTTTAATGAAGAAATAACATGTCATTCTAGTGATGCATCAAAATGGACAGATTTTAAAAGATACATAAAGTAAATGATTAAAACTGTCTAGTTACTGAGGATTTTTGGTTATATATACGGTATCTATTATATATAATATAAATATAATGCATTTCAACCATGTGTATATATAAAAGACTCAGTATCTGAGGATTTTAAGTATTCATGGCTGCTGACACATACTGCTCACTGCTACTTAGTAGGAATTCTCAGTTCATAAGATAATAAATAAAAGAGCTTCCAACTTATATTTTACATATATTCCTGGTGCATGAAATAGTCTGGCACATATTTGGTTGTTAGTAAATGTTCAATTAACATTACATAAATTGTGAACTGTTAATCTGTGATAAAACTACCGAAAGAGGGCCCTCCCTGGTGGCACAGTGGGTTGGAGTGCTGCACAGCGAAGGTAAGCTAAGCCAAGCCCTGGCCACCTCCATGCGAGTTCAATCCCCACCCCAGAGGTAACCCACATGGCATAGCAGAACTCTCCTGTCTCTCCCGCTGCTCCTCTCCATAGTGTATTTCAGTAGATCTGCTTGTTCTGCTCCCCACTCTGTCTCTGGTGAATCCTCTTGCTGTCCCTGTACCTCTGGCTGGCCTGTACCCCATTTTTGTATGCATAAATAAATAAAGTCTTTAAAAAAAAAAACAACAACAGAAAGAACATGACACCTTTACTTCAGTGATACTGCTGTCAATATCACCACATCCTATGTACTGTTTTGTGAATATGCCAAGGATGAGACAAAACACTTTAAATACTTCATTTAATAATTACATCAATTCTATGCAGCCAGAATTTTGCAGATGAGGAAGGTTGAAAAAAACCTGCCTAAATCCACAAAGCCAATGTAATGGCCTGGGCAGAGTAATGATCTGAGTTCTGCCCAGGTCTAAAGCCAGCATCTCAACACTGACACAATGCCTTTGTGTTCCTTTGTGTTAGCTGCGGCTTGGTCAGCTCACTTGCACAGCGAGGTACAGCCCTTCTTTTGGTAACCTTTCAAATTCTTAAAGTAGCATGATGTCATGAAAAATCACTGGGAGTCAAATAGCTAGGAACTAAATCTGATTCTGCCACTTACTGTTCATGACTCCGAAACAAAAAAAATAACTTACTTGCCCAGTTTTTCTATTCATAGAAAAAGAGGTACTGGTATTTATACCTCTAGTTATTATATGGATAAAATATATGTAGAACACTTAGCATGAAGTGTTCACAGAGAAGATTCATAAAATAACATTACCTTCCCCTACCCTTCTAAAATAGATGTGAGTCAAAGACAAGAGAGCTGTAAATACTTAAGATTTATCGAAAAACTATGAGTGGACAGCATTCTGGCTAAGTCTATATTTAAGGGATTTGAGAGACCTTTTGAAATCCCTTTACTCTGATTGAGCTGAAGCAGTGGATGTTGTGTGGACCAACATTAGAGTTACAGATGAGAACAAGCTTGAGATAGAATGTTTGCATTTCAATGTTAAGTTACTAGGTACTTCAATTCCCTGGCCAAGAGCTTCCACACTTTCTCACCTGATACTAGTGGTCTCTGTGTATTGGACTGCCATGAGCTGAGAATTTGAGCCCTGTTCCAGAGCACCCTGAAAGAAGAAAAAGATGGTTTAATGCCATCAATGAAATTATATGAAGATCTTCCTAGATTAACACATTCTATATTTCCATCTACTAAATTCTCATCAAAAAATTTGCACAGATTTTCCCCCCTGAATAGTCATTCTTGAATGTTGAGTTTGGCCCATGGGCATAGTTCCTACTCACCTCCCTTTTTGTGTTTTCTCTCAAAATGATATCATCCCAAATTAATCTAACAGTCTGTACCTTTCCACTAAATAGCCAACCTAGATATCTGTCATACTCTGAAGATATAACATGGCAAAGACATTTAAGGAAAAAAAGAAGCATTTATTTACCTAGATATTTACCCATTCTGGTGCTCTCTTCCTACATATCTGGGATTCTGTAGCATCTCACTTAGTCTAAAAAACTTCATTTAATATTTCTTATAGTAAAGACAAATTACTCCCCTTTTATTTCTTTGAAAATGTCTTTATTTTACCTTCATTTTAAAACATATCATCATTAATTTAGCCTTTTAACTTTTCTAATACTTCACAGTCTAGGAAGAGGGTAGACTAATGAAATGCAGTAAGTCAAATCAAAGGTATAATACCTACAGATGACACATTTCAAAGAAATGTCCATTTTCAAATGTATAGAATAACTTATTAGGCTATTATGCCTTTTGGCATCTAAATATGGAAACTGTGAGGGAAAAGAATGTTTAAATGAGAGAAGAAGACAAAGCATAAAAGTTTCAGATTCTAGAAAGAACCAGAGTATCCATCTAATGATTTGATATCAGCAGCAGTATAAGCAAAGTGACCAAGAACTACCTTGATTCTTGACAAGTAAATTTTTCCAATTTTTGTAATATCAATGAGCCCCACATTTTAACCATTATCTAAGCTCCCTACAGAAAGATATATGCCAAGTTAGCAGAGAAAAGAAGTAAGACTATAGGGTAAACTATAAATCCCCAAATGTTCAAAGATTGTGAAATAAAAACAAAATTTTTTTTTTGCATTACAGTTCCTTCAAGATTAAAAAACACCAAGCATTCCTTGCACAGCAAACTCTCTATCCATAAACAAGAAAGAATAACATGAAAAGATATATCAAAAGGGGGAAAAAAACTTACTTAGGCTAAGAATTTTAATCTAATTTTTCATAAGGTCCATTATAACAGTTGTGTGGAATAAGCTACTCGCAGTGATCTATTCTTGCCCCCCTTACTGCACCCTGTTATAGCAAGGAATAGAAGCCTGGAAACTGTATTACCCAAACATTTTTCCATCAGTGTTTTGGATATAATGAAGGTCTGCTAGTAAGATATTTCTGTGCATCATTAGTAATGATTGCCTGTAGCCTCCAGAGGACTAACAACTGAGAGGTGTCAGACAGACCCAACGAGGACACAGTGGATAACCATAGAATCTCAGAATGTCAAAGCTTGAACCTATCTAGACCAGTACTTATTATTTTCCAGGTGAATATCATCTCATAATAGTTAATTGTGCCTGTTTCTCAATATCGCTTTAGTATACTTTCAAAGCTACCACTCAAATAGCTAAAGTGTAATCATTTTATTACATAATCAACAGCTAAAGTGTTTCTACTAGCACATAAAGATATAAATCTAATCAAATATACCCTACCTAGAAGTAAAACCTCTTCCTCTTGGGGGCCTCCCTGATGTTCTAGGGGTTAATTCTCAGTGCTTTCACTACTACGACCTGAGTTCAATCTCTGACCAGGGAGTTAACCCACATATGGCACAGCAGATCACTCCTTTCTCACCTGCTGCTCCCCATGACAGTGTTTTTCAGTAAATCCACCTATTCTGCTCCCCATTCTATCTCTGGTGAGTCCTCTCAACAACCCCCTCCCAGGCTTACACCCCAGTTCTTCTACACAAAAATTACAAAAAAAGAAGAAGAAGAAGAAGAACAACAACAACAACAACAACAACTTTCTTGGAGAGACAGGTGGTAACAAACCCAAATTCAGGAGAAAATATTAAAAAAATAAAACCTCTTCCTCTTAAAGCTACTCGATTTCTCTGTTCCCATTAATGGAGATCATCCCAAAATAATTTTTTCTACTTCCTCAATTATTATCACTTCCTGTGTCTACTTTAATAAGGCTTTTATAATTAGCACTCCAACAAAAAGGCATAAATAGCATCATTTATATACCATTTGTGCCCAAAGTCTTTGATTCAGATATCTATGCATGACTTGAAAGGAAATTTGAGGGAAAAGCAACAAGAACACATCTAATCAGGAAATCCTCATGCCATATAACCTAAGCTAGTGTTGTACAACCAAAATAGGGCTATAAATCAAAACCAGGGCTATAAAATCTGGGAGGAGGACTCCATGGCAGTAATAGCTACATCACAAGCAGCAGCAGGAAGAAGCTCAAGCTTCCACATCTTCCAGAAAGAAAACAATCCAGTTGGGGCAAATCTTCCCCAAAAAATGCTAACCACAGTTTGAAGACAAACAAAACAAACCTGGAGAATTCGGGTTTTCTGTTGATTATTCGTCATTCTTCTTGACTTGGTCCTTTCCACTTCATGTCTATGAACCCACCCTCGAAGTTCATGGTTCAACCTATAAAAGAGCTTAATTAATTGAACACACCTCACTTGATTGGTGATGATCTTAATCACACTGTCTAGGTCCCAACGAGATTTCAATTGCCTAATGATTCAATATTACTTTTTGATTTGAAAAAAGTGAAGACATATAAAGTTGATTTTAGTAGATACACATCAAACATGAATTCAAAATTCAAAGAAAGCCATAGCTAAGTATCTGCCATAAACACTGGATGCAAATGTTTTGCCACAAAAAAAGTATTTCCTACTTATACTCTTGGGCTCTGTACAACAAATATTGGAAATGGCAGAGAGCACTTTAGTGATAGAACCCCAATAGCAAATAGATGCACGAAGCCTTTGAAAAATCACACACTTTTGGGAGAAAGAAATTAATATATTCATCTGCTTGAGGGGGGAAAAAGAAATTTAAATGGACAATAATTGAAATTTTTCCACCAGTGGAAATAAAAGCACAACTGAAATATAACTTCCCTTTATTTTGCTTACTTTTTAGAGCAGTTATGAACTCTTTATACTTTCTTAATGATAACTACTACTTAGCGGAAGACAGTACTTTTTGAGATTCAAGAGTAGGAATTAAAATCACAGGAAAAACTTCAAGGAAAAAGTGAGAAAGGAGAGGTGCAAATGTCTCCAAAATCTCACATCTTCAAATTCCTCTCTTCCTAATTGAAGAAAAAAGGTACCTTCTGCTATGACTATTACCACTTTTAATTTTTATATTAATGTCATCCTGTAGTATTTAAATAAGACAGATTTAAGTATGCAACCCTAATGCCATCACCTGAAATAGACCCGTCACCATCTCTACCAAGGAGGTAGGTAAACTGAGTAACAATTGCTAGGCCTGTGGTCACTCATCAAATAATTCACAGGTTCTTTCAGCTATTTGGTTAATGTGAACACTAAATTAGTTCAAACAATCTGAAAACACTTCTGTAGGTTGCAAAGCTCAACAGAAGCCCATTCAGAAGTCCCTGCCACAATCTACAACACTCACCTGAGAGATTCTGTGGTGTTGATGAGGGGCTGACAAGGAGGTGGAGGAATATAGAGCAGCGGTTCTTCAGTTAGCACCATCAGGGCTTTGTCATTTGAAACAGAATGATCGTATCTGAAACACAGATGCACAATATATATCTCCTGGCATCTTAAATTCCTAAGAAGTTTGCTACAAGAAAATCCCAACCGTTCATGGGATTATTGAACATAATTATTGAGTATAGAAAGTAGAGACACAATGATAACAGTTCATGCCCTCGATGAGCACAAGGCATACATAGAGCTACTAGGACAGAGGAGGGACACAATAATAGGAAGGCTGGGGGAGAAACCCACTGACTGATAGGTACACAGTACAATGTGACCAGGACCCAATTGTGTGGCCATTCACAATTTTGTGATAATACAAATGAATTGTCTCCTTAAAACAGTACATGTGCTCTTAAAACAACTAGCAACAAATGTTGGCAAGGATGTGGAGAAAAAGGAACGCTCCTTCACTGCTAGTGGGAATGCAAACTAGTACAACCACTATGGAAAACTGGTTGGAGGT